GGGAGGATATAGGGGGGATCAATGGTGATGGAAGGGGACTGGACTTAGGGTGGTTAACACACAATACAGTGTACATAGGATGTGTTATAAGATTGTGCACCTGAAATCTATATAATTTTGTTAACCAGTGTGACCCCAATAAATTCAATAAAAAGAAGAAAAGATTGCACGGTAATAACACAATTTTTAAAAAAAGAATTCCATACAGATGTATGGTTTTGTTTAACATCTAACCATTCCTGTTTTCTTATTTCTTTAAAGCTACGCCAAAGCCCTAAAAGTATTACCACTGCGCTAAGATCCTTTATCTAATTGAATAATGCTGGCCATATTTTACATGCTAAGTTCTGGCAGGAAGCCATTCTAAGTCTTTCAGCTCACTCTAATAAAATTGGTTTTGCATATCCTGATGACTCTGCTAATCTAATGTAACAGAATATATGTAAGCTATAAATTGTTTATGTAGAACATAGGTATGCTATCAATTGTTTATATGACACAATGATCCTTTTTCACCAATTTATTGCTAAACATGTTTCCTAGTGATTGGTAACATTCATTCCTATGAAACCTAATAATGTTAAGTATAAAGATTAAGCACTGGAATGGAGGTTTTTCTCTTGGCAATTCAAAACTATGGATAAAATTGTTACGCTTGTATTACTCATATAGTGATTAACAAACTGAGTTCTCTGCCCTGAAAATGAAAACACTTTCTTTCAAGGTGCTATTTCCTATAAACACCACCCAAAACACCTATAATGGAATTGTACTAACTCATATATTTACCACTTGGTTAAAATTTTACTATTGGCAGAAAATTAATGTTAAAGCACTGAAAGTTCTAGAATCTGACTCACAAATACAGGTTCAGATAAGCATTTATATGTTCTTCTCTTAAGATATTTTTGATGTAAGTCTCAAGCAAGTAAAAGAAACTGTGCATGCACAAAAATGTAGTTCATCATATGCCATATCTGGAAATATCATGCCATAAGGGTACTGGTCCTTTGTCTTTGGAAATGTGCCCTATTCCTTTGAAAGGACAGCAAGTTGTGACACTATTTCTATTTTTGTTTCACCTGATGCTCTGCAAAGTGTTTTTCTCACGACCAACAGGCATGACAATCCATCCCTATGTTGCAAGTAAACTAAGTTGAGTCTGTGCCTTGGTCAAGATGAAAGAGATGATCTTAGGACAGTCATAAATGTTCCATAAAGGCTCAAAAAAAGAGATACAGTGATTCTCTACAGCCAGGTATTTAATATACATAAGGGGGAGGGGAGAGAAGCAGTGTTGGAAAATTTTGCTTTGGTTGTTGGCATTTGGCAACATTTAGAATCATATGTTTTCATAAAACTCTTCATAAGTATCTGTAATAGTGACGTTTGTTAGAAGTACCAAATAACCACACATAAAATATCCCTTTCCAATGACCTAAACACAAAGAGACAAGAGCATTTCTGAAATAATAACACATTTCTCCGTGTATGTTTGTTTGATAAAAGCCATGATCACCGTCACAAATAGATTGTGCAAATTCATTAATAATGGACGGGAAATATTTTTCAATTTCAAATCTATTTAGAAAGCTGCACCAAGTTTGATTCATTGACTTGGATTCTCAAGACACGAGGACTTCCATGACTTTCCTGGGTTGCCAGCAGGTGCCCGGGGAATCTTTGGAGCCACTGAAAAACCTAAAGAAATAAAACCAATGACATTGCAGTGTCATGTGCTGAGTAGCACACAGTGGAATGTGGAGGATAATCTAATAACTACAAGAGTCCTCTACCTTTTAACTCTAGAAAGGGGTCTTAAGTAATGTTTAAGGTGTGTGCAGTGACAGCTCATGATTCACTGAGCAACCATCCCAGGCTGTCAAAAAGGAGCACTGAGAGTAGTTCGTAAATTAATCCCCTTATGATTTGGAAAATCAGAAACTAAGGCTAGTAAATTTCAAATCCATACATGTACACAAGATTGATTTTTAATACATTTTCTTATTAAATAATTCCCCATGCTTTGATTTTAAATAGTCTATACTTTGACGTATTTCATATTCTAAAAATGTATGGGACACTGAAAGTTGTCTTTTACTAATTATGAGTGTATCAGCTATCTTCGTGTATGTGCTGCTATCAATCTGTAAGACAATCACTAAATATAACAAAGTTATAGGAAACATAGTTTTGAAGCAGTCTACTCAAGACTTACTGAACTTCATCACTGGGACACTGAGATGACATTATCTCCATTCACTTTGGAGACTCGCATAAACTTGCTGTCGAACCCAAGTGAGGACATCACAAAAATGGAAGTTATAGATCAATTTCATTTATCATTACACATGCAAACAGTCTATATGAATATTAGCTAAATGACCCAGGACTGTGCAATTTGTTGGTGGAGTAAAAGAATGGCTTATTTTAGAACACCCGAGAGTGTCTGTCACTACTTTAAATTCTGCTTCAAATTTAGAAAAGGAAGCTTCTATCTTACCTCAGTATGAAGGTTTTAGTAAACATAGGGGTAAAAAATTAAAAGAAATAAGGGCCATAAAATGTGGGGAGAAGGAGGAAAAAAATGTAGTTAACATTGTAAATACTGTGTTACACATGTGTAAAAACAACAAACTCTATGACTCAGCTGTTAGGACTGACAGTCCAGAATTCTGCTCGACGCAAGTCAATACACACAGAGAACAAAGCTACATTTTCAAACCTAACAACAGATTCAGAGCCTCACTAATGTATAGAAAAAATTAAAGATATGATTTCACACTCACTTGACTGACAAATATAATAAGTGTTATAATACTGGAAAAACTTAAACTTAAGATGTATCTCTCCTACAACTATGAACTCTATAAACCTTTTGAAATATATGGCAGATAAAAATAAATACAAAACAATCTAGCATGCAAGGCAAAACATTAGGAGTAACAAAAACCCATTTTGTAAACAAACCATTCCCTTATTTTTGAAGGAAATAAATATTTTGCTAATTATCTTTTCAATATTTTCTATTTGTGGCACTGGTAGAAGAGCAGACACTTGGATTAATGGAACAGAAAAGAGAACCTAGAGAATTAGTTCTACACAAATACAGCCAACTCCTTTGTGACAAAAGCGTAAAAGCGAGTCAGTGAGGGTAATCTTTCCAACAAACGATACTGGAGTAGTTGGACATCCATAGGGGAAAAATTAACCTTAACCTAAACCTCACACCTTATACAAAAAATACACACAAAATAGATCATAGACTTAAATGTAAAGCATAAACAGTAACACTTTTAGAAGAATGTAGGAGAAAATACCTGATACTTGGTATTTTAGGCTTGATATCAAAACATGGTTCATAAAAGAAAAAAAATTATAGGCTGGACTCTGTCACAACTAAAATCTTTGCTGTGTAAAAGTGCCCACTAAGAGGGTAAAAAGGAAAGCTACAGACTTGGGGAAAGTTCTTGGAAACCATGTATCTGACAGAAGAATCACATCTAGAATATACAAAGAACTCGAAACTCAATGGTAAAAATGCAAATGAACCAATTAGAAAATGTGAAAAAGACATGAAGACACATTTCACTGACATATATGGATGACAAATAAGCACATGGGAAGCTGTTCAACATTACCAGCCATTATAGAAATGCAAATTAAAACACGATGGGGTATCACTACACTTGTTAGAAGAGCTAGGATAAAAATAAAATTAGTCACAATACAAACACTGGTCAGGATGTGGGGAAGCTGGATCTCTTACCATGCTAGTGGGGAATGTCATCTAGCACAACCATTCAAGAAAATAGTTTGCCAGTTTCTTTCAATAACTACATTATGTATTACTCTTTCTAGGTGAGATTATGTGGTTCACAAAACTATAAAACTCACAGACAAAAAACAGATGTTTCATGACACTGGACTTAGCAATGATTCCTTGGATAGGACACCAAAGGCACAGGCAACAAAAGCAAAAATAGACAAACTGGACTAACTAAGAACTTCTGTGCATCAAAGAACACAGTCAACAGAGTAAAAGGCAACCCACAGGATGGGGAAAAATGGGAGA